CCCCCCCGCGCGCGAAAAAAAATTTGGCGACGATATTCATCTGCTCATGCGTGATTCACATTGGAGTGCATCCGCGAAATCGAGGAGGGAAAGGGAGGCGGTATCAACAACCTCAGGAAGAAGGGACGGGGAGATAGAACGTGCGTGTCAAACGGCAGGGACGGCGGTCGCGGGAACAGAAGCATTTTCAGTAGGGTTTACGATTATCTGCTGTAAGGAAAGAAAGAGAGACAGAGGAAATCAGGACAAGGAAACCCAATTTGTTATCAGTAATTGGATACTAACCTGTAAGCAGACAGGATGAAAGGGAGCAGATACACAGAGACCAAATGACCTGTAAACAACCTGCAATCAGCGATAAAACCCTGTTCTTCAGGTGCAATCCTGGAACAATGAAGCTTTCCGTGACCGAAATAGGTAAAATTTGAAAGCTCTAATTTTCGATCCCCAAACCGACCTCAAACTGAGCAAAGCACTCATGTTTTGTACGCACCCGGATAAGACCGCAAAAGACAAACTTGGAGAAAATTTGGCCTTTTCCATTTCCGGTAGAATTCTAATCGAATCGACGCATGCAGATACAGCAAGTATCGTTTTCGATCGATCAGCGCCAGAGATAAAGGAAAACTAAGGGTGGTCACACGATTTTATCGCAACTTTTTCGGTTTATATATTCTCTTTTTTCATTTGTTTTAGTCTTTTGCATGCCCCGGGACTTGTGGTTTTTTGTCCATCTATGCGAGAATTTCCCGTCCTCCAGAATCAGAATAGCGGGGCTGACGTACAAAAGAAAAGGGGAATGACATGATTTCTGTGCCAAAAGGCTGGTTAGAAACTTAGAAAAATCGAAGATCTGACTACCGTCATTACGGGAGAGTGAAAAGCCGCTCCCGTTCATCAAATGTCCATTTCTCACGTAGCCATTAGATTTTGTTTGGTTAGTCAGGCAGGTAATCCAATCGCGATGTCGTAACTAAACTAAATCCAGCGGCACCGCTCACACTCATGTGTTGACCACGAAAGGGACAAGAAGCTGGGGTTCTTGTGCCCACTGCATCGAAAAGGGTGCTACACCCGAACGATTTAGTGATTGTTATGGAGTCCAAATGTGTTCATGAGGCTCAACTAAGTCTGAACGACATTTCCAAGTCTGATAAAAACTCGGTGTTCGAATTCTGTGGTTCTCCCGGGACATAGATTAACCCGAAAGTCATATTTTCCCCACAAAAATTAAGGTAATTTAAGCAGAACATCACCTACGGGGAGTTTGGTTGTGTTGTTCACGTTATCCGCGGGTGCGAATTCAGTAGTGGCCATGTGTTCCGCACATCAATTCAATAGGTAGCTCGTCGAAACGCCTCACTGGGCTAAAATCCTATTGGACAGCACTCATAGCCAATAAAATGTCATAGACCACCAGATTCCCAATTGTTACATCAGCGCTACCACCAGAAACACATGAACAGGATAAAAATGTTTTCTTCCGTGTAAGCAGAGGATAAAAGATAACCGGGGTTTCAAACGTCCACAAAATCTTGTAAAACCATAATAAGTTCTCACGAGTAGTCCGTTTGCGATGTAAATCCGTGTCAACGATAAGAAGGACGAACTCTACTAACAAAACGCCGTGGGGACAGCCAAAAATAACCAGAAAGCCAACACTGTCCACGAACATGCTTGCACACCCAAGCAGGTGAACGGATACAGTCGCTCATACACGAATTCACACATACCAACACATTAACAGAGAGACGACCACGGTTGGATAGATAAGCTCTACAGCGTGGCTGGCCCACGGAGATGCGAAAACGACTTTCTCTACACTGAGGCGCAAATAATCTGCGATAATCGATCACCAGTTAGGTCCATAAGAGACTGCGACAGCAGTCCACACTTAACCAAGACGAGAATCAGTACAAATTACTAGGCTCGGTGATGCGATCCGGACAGCGAGGAATGACAGTGAACGAGATAACGTACGAAACAGTCAGACACCACGGGGGATAATCACATCTAGTGTGCTGTTTGAATTGGTTCACACATTGGTTTACTAACACGCAAGCACACCAAGACACGTACACCCAACGAGACGGACGCGAACACGAAGTAGGGCTAACAAGAGTGGTCTGACAGAGTGAATGAAGTAGTGACAAGGAGGGGCGGGAGGACGCAAATATGCACGAAGAAGCAGAGTAACAGATGAAGTGCTCACAAACATGATTACCTCTGAGTAGTACTTCTCTTGGGAAGAAGGCAGCGAGCTGCCATTTAGATGATGGTCATATTGGTGGGATTCGCTGCCAGGTTTGGGGGCCGCGTTGTTACCGCCTACGGTTGACCAAATCCAAATACAAATTGAGAGTAGTGTGGGATGAGTACGGTCCACGAAGGAACACGCAACATACCAGATATTGAAACGCAACCACACACTCTGTATCATACGAAAAACCCGAATGGAAAAAAAAACCCTCGAACTCACTCACCTTTAGGTCGCTTTAGCTGCACTTTTAAGCGTTTCAAACCAATCTGAAACCCGTTCATTGCTTGAATCGCATTCTGTGCACTTGTCTGATTGTCGAAGCTGACGAAACCTAAAACGGGAAACAACACTGTGACCAACTCCTCAAATAGCCCTGGATGTGTTTATGGTGTAGAAAAATCGACGAGTTCCTCCTATAGGACAAGTCAGATCCACTGAGGCATTTGGATTCAGCGTGGTTTGCATAAAAATTTCGAAAGTCGTGAAGGCTTCGTTTCAGAAGTACTTGGTAAACAATCGGTAGTTTTTGACTGGGCACACTTTCGCTTTTGAAACAAAAGATTCATCAGGCCAAGTGAGCAGGTCACCAAATTGACCAGGCTTCAAGGCAGAACCAATCAGTAAGATCACACACCTAGTCGTGAAGGCTGGTGCATGGCTGTCGGGCAGTTACGATGAAGCGGGAGTAAGTGTAGCTGGGATACACGCAAATATGGGCATACGAAATAGCTTTCCAAACTCGCGGCTTAAACTCGGACGTTCCAACAAACACAAGTGTAAATGACAAAACCTTGAGATCCTGAGGGAACCTGCAGTTCTCAGGCCATGTGATTGATCCGAGTATATTGTTGCAGCCCCATGGCTACGATCAAGCCATGTCCCATGAGTAGCACAGTCCGTTGTCACAGACAAACACAGAAATGGGTGCTAGTTCGAACCGATACGATTGTATTCCATAGAAGAGCTGAATTGTCCGAGTGAGCAGGTGACCAAATTGACCAGGTTTCAAGGCAGAACCAATCAGTAAGATCACACACCTAGTCGTGAAGGCTGGTGCATGGCTGTCGGGCAGTTACGATGAAGCGGGAGTAAGTGTAGCTGGGATACACGCAAATATGGGCATACGAAATAGCTTTCCAAACTCGCGGCTTAAACTCGGACGTTCCAACAAACACAAGTGTAAATGACAAAACCTTGAGATCCTGAGGGAACCTGCAGTTCTCAGGCCATGTGATTGATCCGAGTATATTGTTGCAGCCCCATGGCTACGATCAAGCCATGTCCCATGAGTAGCACAGTCCGTTGTCACAGACAAACACAGAAATGGGTGCTAGTTCGAACCGATACGATTGTATTCCATAGAAGAGCTGAATTGTCCGAATTTGGACAAAATGGCTCACCAACTGTGGCAACGCAAATTTGGCGTCTACCCAAGTTCAATCCACCGCCGGTAGTTGTGTCAAAGGATAAACAGGTGGCGAGGTATCAGGTGTACTACATATTGTGTGCATAACGATACCATAAAAAAAGTCCAAGGACATACCGAAGCATTTGCTCTGATTTGTTGCCCGATCCACATACACCTTGGCACTGATCACCGTTCCAAAAGGCATAAACATTTGGGCCAATTCGTTATCACCAAATTCTTGAGGTAGGTGATATATGAATAGATTGCAGCCCTCAGGACCTGTCACGGTAAAAATGAGCAGAAATGAGCCTCAGAAAACTGGGGAGAATGACATAACAAGGCCCAATCAAATCGGAGAATCATAGAAAAATGTCACTGAAACCGGGATAACTGAGCTCACGCTGTGATATGTCTCCCCTAACGGTGGCACACGGGAAACATGTATCCAACAAGTGAACATAGCACACCGATCAAAAGTCGCAACTTCATTCATTTCAATAAACAGCTTGCGATCATTAGTTTCATTCAGACTCCATCCTAGAAGGTTTACTCTCGCGAACAATGCGACCAACTTTCCCGAAAAATCTCGCACGGACTGTGTACTTGCTCTTATCGTTCCATCAGCTTGCCACGCTATGCTTTCCCAAGGGACTGTGAACTTTTGGTCAGATTGCAACGACTGAACAAAAACGGTATCTGACACACAAAAAACCTCGAGCATCTACTACTGCACTACTTATGAGTACCCATGTTAGAATAAATCTAGACCTGTTTTATTCGTCCAAACTGTTGCTTCGAACTTCCATTACGTACGTATGCCTACCTCTTCAAGAAAAGGACCCGAAAGCCGGAGTAGTAGTGTCAAATTTGGAGCGACTGTAATTACAACATACGGCGCAGAGCTGACAGCCTTTTTGTACCTTTGGCAAAGGCCTGTTGGCTGGTGAAGAGTAGCCAAGTAACCTGTCGAAAATACCAAGTCCAAAACCTCCCCAGTGAAACTTCTTTTTGAGAAGTTGTCACTTCACTCGAACAGACCACGTGATGTGGTCCCGTGACTGAAGGACGAGTGGCGCTATGCTCCGTCCAAGTAAAAGCTAATTACGCTGCTGATTAGCATCTCGCGGGCAAGCGGTTGTGTTCCACTACGGGTTCGAAACTATCAGATTAGCGTCAAATGCGCATGGCTGATGATTCCCAACAAGGATGAGACAGCTCTACAGTGCTTCTGCGTTTTTCAGCTCTATCAGCAGGACGGAATCTATACAAAAACCACAATGACAAGGTTAAATTGGAACCAGAATCCTCTAGTCAGACGCTCATGTCTCAATGTTCTCATCACCGCGAGCTTCATCCAAAGCTCCACCACTGGGTCCGATAGTCGCTAGGTCACACGTACACACAAGCAGCGAGTAGAGTGGCCACAGTCCACATCGTTTCTCTTAAAAATGGTCATAAACGGAGATAAAGCCATAGTAAAGATACGCAGTGATATCGTGTTAACCGATAAATAAAACGAAAAATAAGGGACCTATGATTCGATTTCATCAAAGAAGCCAGCTTCAAAACGCAACAGTTACTTTCTGATGGTCCATCAGCAACGGAAACGTGTAAATGTTTCCAGCAGGGCGCAACAATCTTATTGTTGCTGTCGTAAATCGGTCCCAATGATGCGTGTGATATATTGTTCGAGATATGTAAGTACGATAGCGCGCCAGCTGGTCAGACGACATTGGCGGAAATGCCGTGCACACTGGCAAAAAACGACGTCAACTTACAGATATGAATCACAGCTATCAACAGAATCTGCAACGGGGTGTTGTTACTGAAAAAAAATGGCAGCTGGTGCGTATTGGACTGTATGAAGGCAAACTCTTATCTGCTCGACAGATAATACGACAGTGCTACAGCAATGGAGACAAGGTAAAATCCACCTGCAATTAGGATGCTGTTATAAAGACTGGTGGCGGGTTTACTGGTGATCTACGATAAGTGCAGAGATCGGCTCAAGTTCAGAACAGTCTAGACAGTAGTCTGGAGAGTGAGGAAGTTAGAACTGAAAACCTATTTGCAAATGTCACAGATGCCTCTGTGGACGGTGCTCAGTCCAAAAAAGACCCAAACACGACGGTGGCAAGGCAGTATGACTGTGCAGTTGAAGCACAACCCACAGTTTCCGGAGCACACTATTCTCTCTATCCAAGGATTACTCCTCTAATGCGACAAATATATGTTAAGAGAGATTGTTCATCCCTGAATATTGCTATGGAGCTTGCTTGATTTTTTCGATTATTCATAGAGTACTACAGTATACCAGAAAAAGCTGACTACTGCGGAACCTATCTGTGGATACATCCAGCTTCCTCCAGGCCCTGACGATGTGACAGCAGAACTGAGACGACTTGGCGCACTTTGTCGTTTATCTATTTTGTTTAAGTCCCAGACAGAAGTCGAGAGGCAGAGGTCGGGCCCGAACCACAGACCTTCCGGCCAGTAAATTCGCGCTCTAACCACTGGAGCCATCTCGCCCCTCGAACATCATAGTTCCATTGAGTGAATGATTTCGACCATCCCCTCTCCGCAAGAAATATAAAAAATCCCCTGAAACTAATGCCGGGTTGTTGAAACCTTGTCCGGACAACGTTCGAAACACTAATATGTGAGATGACTACCAAATCACCGCACTATGACGAAGTGAAAGTGAGGAGCGAATTCCAGAGAGGTTGGCGTACATTCAGGTAGTAGTTAGCTCAAGTAAGCTTCAGTCAGGGTTGTGTCCAAAAGAAAGCTGGTGGCAGGCTCCAGGTTACAGGCTCCTTAGCAAAATCCCAACCATATTTCCGCTGAATGACCTAACTGCAACTGTCGAATCTCAGTTTACATCCAGTAGGTCTTGGACAACCAGGTAAGAGAGAGAATGGAAAGCTCTGAACCGCAGCGTAATCAACCTCCTGTCTCTTTCTCCCGCTGATTATAAACCCGTGGGTGGATGAATTACAGGCCGAAAACAGTCAAATTACAAAGTGTGATGTAATCGGCAATGGCGCCACGTCGTTGAAAGCGCACTGAGGTCGTTTAGATGAACCTGTCCTCAAAACAACTTCAAGCAGCGGCAGTCGGTGAAAAAGTCTCATGCACGACCAGCTTGACAAGAAGAGTGGCGTATCGGTTGTGTCAAAAGTCGGGTGTATGTAGATAAGATCAGTCCCATACCAGAAGATATTATTGTCTGCACCGGTTCATATGATTCGTTGCTTTATATGAGGACTATTGTTCAGGTGAACGACCAGAACAACAAGAGGTGCCGTCTTGACAGTAGGGTGATGTAGACCGCTGTGTGGACTATCCGTCACCAATTTGAAAAAGCCTTGTTATATATAACTATCGGTCTGCTGCTCCGAACAAACAAGACGCACTAAACTAGCAATCAAGTGCACCGGCTCAAATGGCTTTAGACCATATGAACCGGCTAAACGACACATCAAACACCTCGTCTGTTTTCGTGACAACCAGTTTCAATAGTTGAGAACCACTGGGTATGACCAATAATTCGTTTAAAACGCCATTCTTGTGCAAAACTGACGAAAGATCGATAGTTGAAGGTGAGGACAAAGAGAGAAAGGAAGAAGATGAAGCCTCATTAGGTGGTAAAAATCGTCCAACTGTAGCACCCTTTCGGTGTCTAGCTGCCACGCCAACGGAAGGAGGCACGAATATTGGGGTACTGCCAGGTTGTCCAAGCCTAGGCAGGAACAATCGAGATGCCCGAGTTGGGTTCGAACCACGGACCTTTCGGTCAGCAAATTCGCGCTCTGAGCTCGAAATAGTCTTTGGGCCGCGCACACTGATATTCCACAGGGGGACAACACGATTCACGTGGTGTGAAACACATGACGGATGAATTGCATAAGCAAAGTGTTGTCGATTCAAACCAGGAACGGGGGTCACAAAATCTCGAACTCCCGACATCACGAAGAAGAAAACGGCAAAACAGGAATAGTGTTCTGAAAAACTACTGCCTTAGAACGGCTGTCATGCCGCGCTCCCAAAGGAGACCATCACGTAAAAACGGACCAGAAAAATAGCTCTGTTTAGCAAGCGATCAAACTATAGTTGCTTACCGGTTAAAATGAATTCACGTGTTCCTTCTTTTAAGTGCATTGGCATAGAGAGAGCTTGGTGATGGAGTGTATGGAATGATGGATAGGCAGCTGCCGGATAAGCTGTGGAAGAAAGGAAAAACGGGAAAGCTCAGATATCACTCAGAAGTGAATCGATTCCCGCACTCGTGACAAATGGATGTTGGACAGCTTCTCAATTGGACACCGGGGACCTATTTCGTACAAATCATAGGGTTCTATAGTATCAAGTTGATAAGACCTTTGAGGCCATGTTGTTCAGCATGTTGGTCAGCAACAGACACGAAGGGATTACAATAAGGCACATGGTTTTAACCATGTCCAACAGAAAGGGACTCACTATCGAGGAGTTATCACGTGTTGCATATCGACTATAATCAGTAAATCGATGAAACTCTTCAATGAAATATGAAGAGTGAAGCTAAGTGGCACCGTCTGCACACAATCGATTCGGAAATGAGCGCCAATTCCGGTCAAAAGCAGACAAGTGGGAGGGGGGTCTGATGATGTCCAAATTATGACCGCAGTTGGGTGTACTTGTGCCAGTCCAAAGCTACAGGATGGTGAGACATACGCAAACAATTCGCTGTCTGAAATAGTAAGATAAATCAAGCAGGAAAGCCGCGAAACTTTCCCTGGTCTCGGACTGATTTTGACGGAAAGTGACGACCTGTTTGCTCAAGCGTTAACTATCGCCTTGGTTCTGCTCACCTAGGTTTCAGGAATAGATTAGGTAGAAGCGGTTGCAGCGATGAGGGAAAGTAACCTGAGCGCAACAATGACTTCTCCCATAATTTAATAATCGTTCAGTGGTAAGACCTTTCCGATGCCTAGATGCCATACCGCTTGAAAGAAGTGTGAGGGATGAGATATTGCCAAGTTGCCAAACCTAGACAAAAGCAGTTGATATGCTGAGTTTGAGCGGTTCGAAACACAGACCATGCGGCTCTAACCACTGAACTATCTCGAGTTCCAACAAAGCCCAACCACGGCACCACGTCAACTGAATAAAATAACGGATTCGTAGTATGAGATTCGATGCTCGACCCACTTTGGGATGATCCCGGGTTTGTGGAGTCGTGGCAATTTGTAACTGTACTGCATGACTGTTATTCCCAGACGAAACTAGTCTTCCGAATCGGAACCCTACGGTATCCACGTTACAGTCATGCACTACAGTGAATTTAACAAGCCGGTCTGCAGCAATCACTTTGTCGTGGTGGTAAGGCCTAATTGTTGCAATGACTCCGCCGGCTACATTGACTGGACATCTGTTCCTCAAGGAAGGCCAACGGGGGGGGGCAGCGAAGAACTGCGAGCCCCCATACTGTGAGAAATCTTATTACAAAGTGGCCAGGAGCAAAAACTCGCACTGTTGTTCGCAATGGCAGAGTGAAGATAGGAGGGTGATTTCTTCAGGCGTCCACCATGGCCATATTCATGGAAGCCCTTGAGAGAAAGAGGTTAGAGCGTTCAGCTGTAGCACCCTTCCGGTGCCTAGCTGCCATGCCACCCGAGGGAAGCACGAGGGCTGGGATAATGTCAGGTTGCTCAAGACAGGGGAAGTCGAGAGGCGGAGGTCGGATTCGAACCGTTGACCTTCCGGTCAGTAAATACGCGCTCTAACCACTTGGGCCATCTCGCCCCTTGGTTGCCACCTGAATGACGATGGTATATTCAGCCATCCTCAAGTAGGTACCGAAAGGATATCACAGGTGAACAATATCTTGCGAAAAAAGTACCTCTGCTCGGTCTCTTCAGGTCTCTCCGGGAGCGGACAACTATGGTATACTGAAAGCTCTGAAGACATCGGAATACTGGTACCCTAAGTGTATTTCTTCTTCAAAGTCCTGTACTATCGACCGGTGTGCGTGAGGCCTGTTAGTCCAGAACATTCTCACACATATTCAGTTAATTCCCGGAAAAAAAAGAATAGCCCAGAAAAGTCATGCACAGATGGATGTACCGATGAGGAAAATTGGCTGACTGCAAATGAAGAATACGGAGCATTCTTTCTGTTTTTAGCTTCTACACATTAATTAGGGTACTTCCTGTCCTGTGATACCACGCTCATGCAATAAAATACACGGCGAAGCACCGGGTTTCTCAGACCACTTTCATTCGAACCGAAAGCCCTTCAAGCAAGAGTTCATGCTTCAGCGCCTGCTTCGATTCCAAGTCAGATGAAACCCACGTGAGACGAACGCGCTTCAAAAATGTACTCAACGCTCCTACCACTGAGGATTAGTACAAATGTCTGACCAGTAACATTAGACAAATCCTGACGGTTGTTCCAGGTTCACATAAATTGTGAGTGCTGCCATCACCAGCATAATATCCCGCAAAACTCTTCACAAGAACACGCGTGAAAACCTACCTAAGCCGTAAGCTTGCAAGCCACTGTAGAGCTGTTGCATGGGATCAGTGACCAGGGTTTGCGCAGAAGCTAGGATAGAAAATAAATTGTTGGTTAATATGATAGAATTGTGCGTTTAGACCACTAGAGCGGAGTGTATGAATACGTACCGGCTGCAGCGGCCAGTGTGGCGGCATTCAGAGCAGCGTTGTCTGCGAAGTAGGTGGAGCTGAGGGCTGATGGGGCGCCGTGGGCCAGAGGTGAATGGGCTGCAGCAGCGAGATGGGCACTCGTGGTCCCAGAGGCTTGTGCGAATGACGGGTGGAGCTGGGAAAGTTGAAGTGGAGTAGCTGCGTGTGCTGGTGCCCCTTGGAGAGCAGCAGCCGCTGCCGCGTAGAACGTAGCCGGATCGGCAGCTACACCAGGTGTCAGAATGGCTGGACTGGCATTCGGTGGTGTTGAACCAGTGGGTGTCATCAGACCTGGAGTTGGGGTGAGGAGTCCGGCAGCAGCTGCCGCTGCGGCCAAGGAAGCGTTAGGAATGACACCCGCGGCCAATATCGAGTTGGTAGCTGACTGGACGGATACCGGTTGGCCGTTTCCCATAGTCACATAGGTAGATGAGGCACCCGAAGACGGAGTGGCTGAGGCGAACAGGGCAGCAGACTGACCGGACACATAGTCCCCGGCAGATCCACTCAGATTAACAAGGGTAGGCTGTCCCTGTTCAGAGGACAGGGTACCCGATCCGGCGTGGTTAACGGCAGCTTGCTGGGCAAGCGCAGCCAGATTGGTTTGCGTCAACAGCGTAAGATCTGATAGTGGGATTAGTGATCCAACTGAAACAAGTGCAGGAAACAAAAACGGGTTGCAATTTTCGGACAGGTTAATTTGAATAAGCAAACAGTATATTGCTGTCCGTAAAAGCAACAACGTAAAATCCAGCCATGTACAAGTTGCCGCAGTTACACTCACTTTGAGTAGGACAACACGTGGCACTCAGAGTTCCAAGTGGGTTGGACCCATTGGTAGAAACCGATGGAGAATTTTGTGCCATATGTGGGTAGCCATTAGCCGCAACAGCGATGGATTGGTGCGTAGACGGATTGGTTGCGAGGGGGATGGAAACTGTTGAGCTGCCGGCTGGACGAGTGACTGTTGGTAGTGATGCGGTAACCGTCGCCAGATGACCGGGATTTGCGTACTGCATAGCGGCCATGAGGGTCATTGGGTTCAAGTAGCCTGGCGTGGGTTGCTGTGTTAATTGTGAAACTGGGGCGGAACTGACCGTCACCGCGGTGGCGGGACAAGCGGCGGAACTGACCGTCACCGCGGTGGTCGGGACAAGCCCGGAATGCTGTATTGTAAACGAATTGAATCAACGTAGCCAATTATAGTCATATATAGACCCCCATCTAATCAAGACCATGTAAAAGAGCACTAAGTACTCCACAATAATGATGTGAATCCCTGCTGATCGGCAATAAACAAGACAGAATATGTGCTTTTCATAAGTTACGACCTAACAGGCACTTTAAACTGTATCAAACTGACTCAAACTAAAGTGTCCACAGGGCTTCATATCAGAATCTGAATGCTCCTTGGGGCACCCTATTTTCACATCCAGTAATTTATACATTTCCATGGGAATTCGTCAGGACAACTTACTGAGACATCTCGAAAAAATCCCTGAACGTATTAGGTTAGAAAAGACATTGCTATCGACTGTCGGTCATCCTAGTGTAGCAAGGTTGCAGCTACTATCGCATGGCGATTTGGACGCGTTTTGTCTCACATATATTTGTTCATCCGATAAATGTCACGCGGTGCGACGTCCGCTCCAAAACACCGGAAGTCGTAAAAGTTGGTCACACTTGTGCAGACGGCGATCACAGTCATTCGGCTCACTAGGAAGTTCATTTGTCGTATCTCGGTCAGTGTCAGGCAATTAAACATCGAAACCTATGTTTACTTCATCACCTGATGGGCCTGGACCACAATATATATCACTGTGCAAAACAGTGTGCACCAATTCGACTGTCCGAGACCCGATTGATTTTTTCGACTGCAAAGGTGTTCAGTGTTCGAAACAAACTGGTCCATTCGCAACACCACTGAGCTTGGAACAGAGTGAAGGTCGGCTTTAGTGGGGTGCGATAGGATTTCTATTTCGTTTAACCTATTGAATCAGACTACCCGGGCGCATCAACAAACGAACGAACAGAGCGATCCCCCGAGTTGGTACCATCTTGTGAAGCAAGGGGGTGAGATAGCTCAGTGGCTAGAGCACGAATTTACTGACTGGAAAGTCCGTGGGTCGAATCCGACCTCGGCCTCTTGACTTTTCCTGTCTATCCAGCCACAGAGAACAAGTCACGCGAAGATATAATACAGTCTTCATGGCTAAAGACCCTGTATGACTGTCTTACCGATGGGGTGCTTTCTGATGACGCTTCGCACATTAAAAAGATCTGCAAGAACGAACAGTCTCGAGTTTCGTTGAGCTGAGAAGATTCTCTCAAGAGAGAGCACTAGCCTTGATTACTCTGACACTAACACCTTTCTGCTTGTTTATCGAACTTGCTTACTCCCTGTTGACTATTCTCCAGCGCAATCTAGAATCGAAGAACTAGGTAGTCATCTTTTTTTCCGGGAGCACAGACCACGGTGAAAGTGAATACCGGACGGTGCTTTCTCAATCCAACGAAAGAGGCGAGTTGGCCCAAGTGGTTAGAGCGCGAATTTACTGACCGGAAAGTCCGTGTTTCGAACCGAAATTTGGCTCTCCATTTCCCCTGTCTAGGCCTGGGCAAACCTGGCAGTATCCCAGCCCTCGTAATTCCTTCAGGTGGAATGGCGGCTATAGTTGAATGATTTCTTGTGAAGCGTGGCCTTGATCAGCTGATATGTTCATATTATACACAATGGAGAACTATCAGCAAGCCAAAGAAAACTGCTTGCGGAAAACTTGTGTAGACTCGAGACCATGTAAGCTGTTAGCGCAGCTAACTGCATACCAAAATTTCCCTGAAGTAAAGTAGATAATTTTACGACAGAACCGTGGAAACAAACTTCTGTACCCTCTCGTTCAGCTGTTGCATCCTTTCGATGCCAAGCTGTCATGCCATCGCAAGGAATTACGAGGGCTCAGATACTGCCAAGTTGCCCAAGCCTAGACAGGAGAAGACACTGAATCATAGGTGGTTACCAGTGGTGTGACCACCCGTGATGAAGATAGTAATCATAGTGGACCATTTTATCAGGACTAAAAGTTCAGTGACTTCAACCGAACAAAACAAAAAAAAACTGGTCATTCACCGTGATTTGTGCACAGGTGTATTGCTGCGCTGGGTAGCCAGCTGCCATCAGAGCTTGTTGATACGCTGTCGCTGCAGCTACCGCGGCTGGAGAGGACGCCATATTGGTGTGTGATAGTTGTGCGTTTTGCTGAACATTCGTTGGGATCGCAACTTGCGGTTGCTGTTGTTGTTGTTGCTGCGATTGTTGATTTTTGGTGTCATCTGTCATCATCAGCTGTGACGACGTCCCGTTCATCAGTCCATTGGTTAGGTTGGCTAATCCCAATCCGTTGACCAATTGCGCTGGGACTGTTGGGGCTCCCCCGGTGGTTGGTGTACTCAGTTGTTGTTGTTGTTGTTGCTGTCGCCGCAACTGGCGTTCCCGGTCTGTGTCGGCAAACTTAACGACGAGTGGTGAGGACGCGCCCTGAAGTGGACAGGACAGAATCATACATTAACAACAGCAGTTACTTTGAAGTTATTTTAGAGAGTAAGTTAGATGATATGGATTATCACTAATAATGGGGAGACTAGCTCATAAGCATACTACTCTTCAGCTGCTTCACCCGGAACCTTTGAGGTAGTGTTGTCTGTGGGAGGGGATCAGATGCAGTTGAGTTATTCAACATCGACGGCCGGAACGTCCAGCACGGAAACCGATAGTAATCTATCAGTTGTACATGGTCAGGGGATTTGTGGAACTCGCATTCACATCACTCTCTTGGACAGTTCTCCTCTAGGACACTGGAGCGACTTTCTCTTATGAGTCCCCATCAAAGTGACTACGCACCGGACTCGTGTTGTGCACTTATTAGAGCTCACACCTTGGCGATGTTGGGGTTTGAACACCGCACATGTGACATGTGAGATGAACGTGTTACCACCAGTTGAATTATTACAGCTGGACAAGCGATTATGTTTTCTCTTGAGCGATGCGATTGGTTTACCCGACAAACAGGTCGGTCGACGTGTTAGTTACCACAAGTGGGTTTAGGCACTCTATGACCAACGGAAGATGTGACGAAGCAAAAAACAGTTTTAGCCATCACTACACGGAACAAAACACATGTGGTTTGATTGCTTGCTCCAGAAAAGCTCCCAGATTCTACCACAACTAACAAAAATTTTCACGGAAAACATCTGACTTCCATTAAGTTATAAAAAAGAGTAAAGTACTTTGCTGTAGAGTTAATTCGCTTCACAAATTAACCGGATCAATAAAAGGAAGAAACATCCAGACATGTTAACGAAAAACCAACGCGATTCGCAGATCAACACATTGACAAAACTGTTTCCGAATCACGGAGAGCAGGGATAAATAGAATGGAAAAACAAATTGAATAACGAAAAACGCAGTTGATTAAAAAGTCCAGGTTAATCACTGCGATAATTTCTAGCCTGTCTGTAGCCGAGACCTTAGCTGTTTTGGATGGCCTGGTGTCTTCGCAACGAGCAGCATATGGCTATCGATCGTCAGTATCGATTTTTCAAGTCGGCCAAACGAAGTGCGACCAAGCGCTCCTAACGAGTGACTGATTCAATTCGGTACGTGACAGAGCACTGGAACGAGGTACATATCACGGATTGAACGATCTTGTCGAAAGCCACCACGCCTGGAACAACCACTAGTTCTACCGACCCATTTCTGCTTGTGTGAAATTAACGATGTATTCATGTCTTCCGATTCAGTGTGGAACTAACTGGATATGTTTTATGACCAGCACATGCTAGTTTGAACTCTTGGTGGAATATTTTTTGTTGCCGCCTTTAGTGATCACGCATCCCCAATGTTATTGCACCCTAACTGCATCGATTGTGTAGTAGAGTAAGAAAAACAGCAAAATGTGGGCACATCTGCTGTTCATTGTTGGAAAAAAACCTAACACGCTGAAAAATAGGCTAGTGTGGGCCATCAAAGGCACTGAAGGGTTTGGCGAAACTCCGAGCCCAAAGATAAGCTTGCATTCAGAAACACCGTGGATAAGTCTTCCTTCCTAATCCTTATATGTAGGTGCCATCTTTCACTCGTCCACCAATCACCCTATCGACTGATAATGTGTTCTCAAATACGGTATAACCTTATCGAATAGGGATAGCTGTTTCTTCTCTTTGAGGTCAAGGGCTGTGTCAAAGAAAACAGCGATCTCGTGTCACATAAAACAGCGAGCGTTCATTGAGAAACAGAACGGAGAGAACGAGTTGTGCTCCATCCAAACACATCGATCACAAGCTGTTCTCGACCACAGACAAAAACTCTGAATAATTTGACTACGGACATGGCCTACTGTTTTCGATGACAACAACATAAAGCAAAAAGACGACGGTTGTGGGCCGCAACCAGATTGCTTCCTAGCGGTCATTAGAAAGCTTGCGATCCTCGCGTGGACAGGCCATTCTTACGAAGAGGTAACATGCTTCGACGAATACACTCATTTGACAGGAGACTCACTTGGTACCCAGCTGAATCACTCGTTTATGATGGTGCGGCACGTTCAGTTGAAAAAGAGCATCATAAACGAGAGATTCTGCCGTCACAACAAAACTTTCCGATTCGGGTTCAAGTAGAACATAAGACTGACGGAAACGCGGGGACTGCGCCTACCTGATGAGCTCCAAAAAGGGCGAAGCGGTCGTGGGCTGTCGAAGAGTTTTCAGCAGCCTTGTGAGTAGTGTATTGTGTCCATACGGGTGAACATGCTCTTCTTCTCTGTTATGGTGACTCTAGCTAGATGGACAATTTTTCGTGATTGGCTTGCTTCACGGTAGCTAACATCCGGTCTTGTTTGAGTCTTGACAACTGACTTTACGCTTTCCTGACCCATCCCCACAGAAGAAACAGTAGAGTACTGCCTGCAAGTGATATCTGCATTGCTTTCCTCATGTCCTATTAAAGTCCGGAAAACATTTCCTGCTCCATAGTTAGTATTGTGAGGAGATTTGATTATACTCTGTAGAGAATGAAACAGTGAACGAAACAGCTGTACAGTGCTCCTCAGCTTTGAAACACAGATTGGCTTCACTGACAAGATGAAACATGTCCGACTCAGTCTCGGCAGTGTTTGCTCCAACCAAAGTTCAAAGGTTATTTCTGGTTAGGCAGTCTCTTGCGCAATCAATACGAACTTAACCTCGAAGGTCAGCTGACCTGACATCTTAATTCATTCTTTTGGTTGAGTCGATTCATCAGTCATAGCCGGCCTACCTAGTCTAAATACTTTGGTTCTGTTTAGAGCGTTCACAGAGAGCGAGCAGAAGGTCCGTGGTTCCAGTCCTACGCCGGCATCTCGACTTCTCCTGTCTAGAGTTGGACAACATGGCAGTGTCTCTGCCATCGTAACTCCTTCGGGTGGGCAGCTAAGCACTGGAGCGGGATTTACATCAGTCCAGTTTGAACAGTTCTCCTGTCCTTCGGGTGCTTTCAGCAGGAGCCTGTACAGTAGTCCCAACACACACCTGACACTTCCTTGGTTCAGATCCCGTTATCACCAACGCTATGTGTTGCTGACGGGCTGTAACAATAATGAAAGTCAGCACCACTGCTTTTTACTTCTTTTCAAGCTAGTAAATACGACTGCACCAGGACTGGATAAGCACGTATTTCAATTAGCCTCTTCATCTTACTTCCCTGTAACATCTTACAGGGAAGTGTTTAATATCGAAACAAATTAAGACAGTGTCTTGAAGTACTCCAGCGTCCATGGGATAGCTTTGAGCAGCAAGGGATTAAATATATCGCCTTTAAAACCTAAAGTAGCGAGCAAAATGAATAGCGTCCGTCTGTCCAGACTACCAAAGAGGCTTACGTATTCGTCGAATAGAATTCTTACCAGAACAATTGAACTATCGGTCACTAATGCGCGATTAGGGGTCACAGCGTCCAAGAACTGATCGCTTAATTGCGAAATCTTGACACACCAAAATAAATTTATCCTCGGGTACTCCGCGTGTTGGCAGTTTCGAAATATTTGTAGCTTGGGTGGGTTAGTTGGCTACTGGTCAGGTGGCAACTGATTTGTTCGATGAGCTTGGCAACTGGTTCGCAAAGGTCCCGTCACCATGCGAAAAAGTATTGTCACGACATGACTCACCAAGGTTGTGCCTGTTTTGACCAGCTCCTAACCACCGTTCCAACTCATCTGAGACCTTCAGCTATTTTTTGAAACTTTGAGAAATAAATGGCCCCAATAATAAAAACTGAAGGACACGCGGAGTGTCCTCAACAGAAATGGTTGTACGGCAGTGAAGCATCGGTGTTGAACACTGATGTCATGCTGTCGATGATGATGATGCCTCAACAGAAATCACCCAGTGTTGTGTTAACAACTGCTTCGCGTTAACTGGAACTCATTATCCAAAGGGACTTGCAATAGGGAGTAGCGGCCCCATCATGACCACAACGCTTTGCTGACAGCACACTCCGAAAACACGCCCTCTCTACTCCAATGTCGTGCTTGCATGCTAGTATACAATCCTGTCGCAAGCAGGAGCAAACAGTGAGTTGACGAAAGGTTGCAATTTAGTATCGGAACAGATAACAGAACGTGACTGACATATTACATTTTACCTGGCACGAATCACCTTCGTGAAACGGGTTGAGCACAATCGATGAAAAACTGATCAGGATATGTTCACTGATCCATTACGATGAGTCACTACTGGCTTTGTGACGCCGTCAAGAGGGGCGTAACCAGATCAGTTTCACTTGTGGATGCACGTGAACGATCAGTCATGTGACTGTGCGCGAAACTATCGTTGAACACATCGTCAAGATAGTTTTATGGATCCAAATCAATGAATGCATGGGGTAGGAGTATAGTTATAGTAAAATGATAGGCAGAATGCAAACGAATTGCCCCATGCCTTCCAATATCTAAACTTTGGTAGGCTCGCAAAAAGAATGCTGCTTACTACTGGTGCACTTTACGGTTCGCAAAAGTTTCGGAGATGCGGGTTGTACTGTAAATTGTTGAGGTTCAAATTGTCCTTTGGGAAGCGTTTAACTCCAAACCTAAATACTCGTTTCTGTATTCCGAATGTGTGAAGTAAACACAAAACCAACAATATATACCCCCGTGAAATCATACCACTGTGGGGTATGTCAGAGACACACAAAGATACTCACTAGGACAGTGTGCAGAAATCGATTAAGGATGGTTCAATGACATCAACTAGTGATAATTTCTTGCATGGCGCCTAGACGCACACATGCAGGGTCACAACACCACTGCCCAAAACTGTGGCAACACATTTCATACACATCTACAAGGGAAAAAAGCTGAGCTGGTCAATTATCAAATTCAGTCAACCACTGTAGTGGAAGCTACTGGCGTCTGGGTGGTGTTCACTCGTTGAAACAAGTAGGCTTTTATTGCGGACGGAATCCCCAATGTGTGATAGGACGGCCCCAGAGAGTCTGACTTGCCACTTGAGTTTGGCAGCTTGATGTGCGGGGTTGAGTTTAGTATCCTCCGCGTTTAATACGTTTCTGCTTTGCCTCACTAACCCCCCGCAGTTTCGCTTGGAGTTATGTACATAAGACATAGATGACTGGTTTGCAAATCAATTTGGTTTTCACGAGAGACTCAACTGAATCTCTCGTTTATGGTATTCAGTTGATTCAGTTGAATCTCTCGTGAAAATCAAATTGATTTGAAAATGAGTGTATTTCTCGAAAACAGTCCAATTTGGGTTCAAGTAGAACATAGGGTTGACACAAATTCAGGGACTGCGTCTACCTGATGAGCCCCAAGGAGAGCGAAACCGGTCGTGGAGTTTCTAAGAGTTTTCAGCAACCTTGTGAGTAGTTTCCTTCATGAAAGCTTTCAGCCATCTTATGAACAATATTTTATACCAAGGAAACATCTAAGGCTCTCTGTTTCTCCCACTCTGAATTGGGTATAACAAACGAAGCTCACCGTGAAAGGCAGTGCTGGGTCAGACGCAGCGCAGCTGAGGCACTCCAGATTATGATGGTACAGTGTACCTACCCAGTACAACCTCGGAAAAGCCATGCGAATTCCGCGTAATCAGGGACCTGGTACTTGCGACTGCCTCGCGCAGCCACAGTCGTATTCGAAAGCAAGTCGTTGTATGCAGGATCTTTATATGGAGGGAGTAAGGCAGTGGCGTTCTCGTGGCAGTGGCATTACTCGTTTGCAAATCGTCTGATAGCGAATTCGTCGGGGCCAGCCTATACTGTTGAAACAGTAATTGGCAGAAACATCTCAGCTATGCTGACAACGCGATCCAAGTTACAAAAACTTACAATGGAACTGACAGTTTAGCCTGAGACGAAGAATTATACCATTACTTCATCGCAGATAGTACAAGTGGCGCTAGACTAGTGGATTGATTAGTCTCACGTTGAGCGACGCGCTACCTAAGGCGGGGTTCCGGTAATCCTCGACTTACCTACGCTGTTTTTGCCCCGACGGCACACGACAAATGCTCATCTCAGGAACTTCTGGTTGGGCATACCGACAACGTAGTTGCGGGATATGCCATGATTGACGTTTACAATCCGAAGGCCCTGAAATCAGGGCACTGATGGTTTGTCCACCCATTCAAATATGTACACAGTACAATCGGACCAGATTTGAGAATTTGGTACCCAATATGTATATTGTTCAAAAGATTACGCACCAAACTCCGCAATAGATCTGACTCCGTTTTACCCAGAAGGATTGGAGGTGTGTACTGCAAACGCAATTCCAATCTCCCGAAAAAAGCATTAATCAAAATCCGGATCGATAAAACTGAACGGTCACACTTTTTTCGGGAAAATTGGGATTCGGAAACCAGCACACCCGTGCTAATAAACATAACTTGTCCGTATGACGGATGGATCATTGGGCGGTCGAGTCCAGTGGGACTTCAGACGTTCACTTGAAATACCTATTCGGTCAATAGCAATCCTCTCGTATCAGGAATTTGGATTCAATTTGAATCACGTGAATTGATGCGCATGCGTCCGATAAACGGGCCGCGCGTGCACACAGCACAATCCCATAAATTCGGACTAACGACCGAATGAAAACCAGGTGTTCAGCAAACACACTACTTACCTGCATGGTCTGACTGTTGTGCAGCCCTTCGATGGCCGACAGCGCTTCCGAATTCGATGCGAACTTGACAAAAGCACAGCCTGTTGCAAAAGTCAGGAAAAAAACACATCACAGACGACGTTACGAGTGCGAAGCATATGTGGAACAAGCGCGTCATTAATGCGTGTTCCTAAAAGGCGACATTCATTTGGTCCTGAACGTGTTGGGGATCAGTTCCTGGAAGAAGCGAGGACGATGATGGACAAACAAAAACTACCCAAATACAGAGCATTGACCTAGCGATCACAGAAAAATGGTCTCCTCTGGTCAGTGACTTACTGTGGTCTGGTTCAAAAAGGGGGAAACATTGAACCGCCCATCGAGTTAGATAGGATGCTAAGCAACCACGCATTGCGCGGATTAATGAGATGGATTTAAGACAAAATCAGAGTGCACCGTTTTGTACACGGACTTGTGTAAAACGGAGCTACAAATCACAGTTCAGCCGAAACCAACCAATGGCTTATTGATGCATGTAAGCAAATCACTGTCACGCTCTGATGACGTTGCCGACCGAAGCAACTTCCTCTGTTAATTTCGGTTTCGCAAAGTGGAATGTGTCTGGTTACACTCCCCGCCGAAAGTCTAATTCGGAGGTCGTAAGAAGACGATTGACACTGATTTGTGGCTCAAAAGGAAAAGTGGAGAAAATCAGGTTGACGGAAATCCGGAGACTGCGCCTACCTGATAAGCCCCAAGAAGGGCGAAACCGGTCGTGGGCTATTTCAAATATCGTAGCGACTGAAACATGAGGCGGCCTGGTGTAGCACATTTAGTTGCCTGAGAAAATCATAAACGAGAGATTCAGCAGGGTTCCAGGTGAGTCTCTCGAAAGAACCAAATTAGTTTGCAAATGAGTGTATATTCGCTAAGTTCGTGCAATTTGGTTTCAAGTAGAACATAAGGTTGACGGAAACCCGGGGACTGCGTCTACCTGATGAGCCCCAAGAAGGGTGAAACCGCTCGTGGGCTATCGATGGATATTCAGCAACCTTATGAATAGTACATTACAAAGATTGTAAGGTTGTTCCCAGAATTAAGCGATTCTGAATCACCGTTGATGGGATGGGGTCGATGAGATCCCCACAAAATCGTCTCGTTACTGGTTGTGTAGGACAATAGTAGGACAAGTTTCAGCCCTACGGCAGCCGGACCAATAAAAATCTGAAGTAGTCAGACAGTATCTGAAAAAATGACCACTCGCAGTACAGCACCATTATTGTCGAGGTGTACGCCTGCATTGTGTGGTTTGTGGTGTGGTCAACAGAACCCAACACCGCAGATTTGGACAATATTGGCTCTGTACATTCTCACAGACATTGACGAAGCTCCCACAGACGCAGACGGCTCAGCGGAGAAAGCACGAAACCACCGACCGGAAGGTACACACAAACCTCGATTTTTCGATTTTTCTGGGGTTTCGTAACCTGGAAATACCTCAGCTCTAGTGCGCAGCAGCTATGCACTGGGAAAGAGTCAGCCGAAAGTTTCGATTCGACTCAATTCGGCAGGACTAACATGATTTGTGTCCGCACTGCATTCAGCCAGTATCTCATAGATAATCGATAATCATTCAGCTGTAAGACCCTTTCGGTGCCTAGCTGCCATACCACCCAAAGGGGGCATGAGGGCTGGGATACTGTCAGGTTGCCCAAGTCTAGACAGGGGAAGTCAAAAGGCAGAGGTCGGGCTCGAACCACGGACCTTCCGGTCAGTAAATTGGCGCTGTATCCACTTGAGCTATCTCATAAACGAGCTGACTTCTGAGGCCTTTGGTGATTGCTGACTTTACAGTTATTAAAGTTTAGCAAATTAAGCTTCTGGAATTTTCCGGCCTGGTAGCGGTCCACCTAATGTGAATGTCGCCAGAACTAGGGTCCCATGTGGTCACCAGGGTAGTTCCTATAAGGTCTTCCACGAAAAATTTTCGGCTGGGAATTTCTGATTAGGCGTAGGTGAATGCGGGTTTGGAAGACCGGGGCTCGCCTTTCCCTCCATCATGTATAACAGCCTTTGGTTTCGGGATGGTACACTAATAAATATCGATACTAATCGTCCAACGTCAATGCCCTTTGGGTGCATAGCTGACACGCCATCCGATGGGAGCATGAGGGCTGAAATACTGTCGAGTTGCCCAAGCCGACACAGCAGTAGTCGAGATACAGAGGTTGGGTTCGGGACATGGGCATGCGCCACTAAGTTATCCGGAGTACTGCTTTCTATTCCATCTTGGGAAATCCTAAACTGCTCGGTATGCCGAATGTCTACCGAGTGTTCAGCATGGCAGCTGTATGTCTGTCTGATTAGTGTGTTACCACTGATCAATATTGGAAACGGTCCGAAAACACTTCCCCAATCAAAACAACCGCAAAAGTACAACCAACTGGTGGTTCCGTTCGATTCCTCTGGGTAGATAATAACTTGTCTTGTGCTTCATTTCGGTCGCATCAGAAAATGGTCAACAATGATCAAATTGTTGATTCATTCGGCTTCGCCCAAACCACACTTGATGTTCACAGAGCTTGCCAAAATCCCATCCCACTTCATTCCTTGTGGCGCCAGGTCACCAACTTACCTTTTCGTGTTTTGTAAGGGCGATAGAAAGAAGAGCATGTCTACGAACAAGAATACACCTGTTACACCGAACAACAGAGCCCTCTATATGCATCTGCGTACGTGCGTGCGCGCGCACTTGAATGTACGCTGTCGTGTTTGGCTCACTTAGTCCAGTCAGACCAGACAAGGGGGCACAATCTGCTCCAAAAATCGATTTGGTCAATTATCTATTATCTATCACAGAACCGGGAACCTGAAAAGGATCGCGAAATGGAAGCTACAAGGCAGTATTGATACTTGTCCCTAATCAATTGAACTGGACACATGAAAGTTTCATAAAACGCAGAAGATTTTGACATGTGTTAAGTGACCAGCCATCGATAGTTTGTCAGAAATTGTTTCCTCTACCCGACAGTTTTCCTGCAAATACCTATGTTTGCGAATCGCAGTCAACTCCTTCTGTATCGTTGTTTGGGTAAACAGACTAACCTGGATCAGCTCGGGGTACATCCATTCGTATGACTGTACTCACTCACCTTTGCTAGCACCACTCTGATCTCGTAGCACCGTGCACTCTTCAATCGATCCGTAGGGTGCAAACAGAGTCCGTAGTTCGTCTTCCGTCTGCTGTTTGCCCAACATCCCGACAAACAATTTGCGATCCTCTGAGAAGCGGTTTTGAGGTAGATAGAGAGGGAAGTGCAGAGTGGTGTTATCATATGTCGTCTAAACGAAGTTATTCTTTAAACGCGAGTAAACAAACCATTCAGAGAAGTTCGTTTGACGGGAAATTCAATAACCATGGCCGCTCAATGTCCACTGAAAAGACGTTGCTGACTGTACGATGGAGATAAGCGGCAGGCCAGATGTCAACCAACATTTTCTAATCAATTATCACAGAGGAGCGGCATTTTCAAACAGGTGTGAACAAATCCCCTTCCTTGGCTCCGGCAGTCGGGAATTTCACCAACTCTCAGAGCTTATTCTCTACCTCCCATCTGAAGTATTCTACGCTTCTGGATGCTGTTTTGGAGGATATGCAGCAATCGTTTGGTAAGAATCAGGGAAGGGAGCGAGAAGTTACTATGAAGGACATTAAATAGGTAGCACAATTAGCAGGTCGTCTTGCAGACAAGGTGTGGTTAGTTGGCCAATCAAATTTGTATGAAGTTCGAGTGTCTAGCAAGTCACGTATGCGCTAGCGAACTGCTCTCTTCTGGGAAAAACAAAAGACCCCAAACACACACACACACTAAATCTTAATAGTTCTGGCCGTTCAACAGCCTACGGAATAACGTAGTACACACTAATTCAACAGATATACTTGACTGAAAAATCGACAGGTAATGGCAACCTTCCAAGTGGAATTTCTGTGATTTCGGTTTCTAGAGTGTTTCAACTGATAGAGCCTAATCGAACGTTTCCGTCACTCCAAACATACCCAGAATCACGCACGTAAAAAACACATACACTTCGGAGTTGGATAACTCACCAAAGCTGACGTAGGGTAAACCAAGCATGCTTTGCACACCAATGCCGCATGCTCTGTCGGCCCAGATGTAGTTAGTAAAGCTAGACTGCTGTGTGGATACATATGAATGGACCCATTGAAAGAGTATATAGAGAACCTGCTCAAACATGTAATGCGACCCGTGACAGACAGTTTAAAAGTCTTTGAAGCCTTGAAGTGTTGAGGGCTTCACCATATGTGGAAAACGAACAACACAAGCGTAAATGCGCCACCACCTAGCGACAGCTGGAAATGAACCAATCATTTGTCAACCGTCAGATCAACCAAGGATGGAACATTGGTGCGGGAAACAAAGCTGACGAAAATTCGGGGACTATGGATACGGCAGGTCGACACCACTTGTAGCTTTCTCGCTGTGGATAAGCCGAGAATTTTCAACAACTCGGTTTAGAACCAAGATCGTAGAATTTAGATTGAACTCGCCACTTATTCCCAAGGCGGAAATCGAGAATAGCATGTCATCGCCGTAGTTTGAAGTTCACACATGAAATCCACAAATTGTTTACGCGTAAACGATAATGTTGTAGACTGAGGGGAGAGACTGATTGGACTCTCGTGCTCTATAACTGATTTCGTAAACAAACCAGAGCAACCAGAAACGCACGTGACTACGGTGCAGTACATACACATATTTAACAAACAAAACGACGTGATCCGGAGCACCATTCATGTCGAACTGCCTTTGGAAACTCGGTCAGTGGATGAAATGGGCCAGGAGGAGGCAGCCTGCAATCATACAGCTATTTTGGGCAGAAATGTGGCCGTATTCCTTGAAGGGATTGTTAGTCGGATGAATCATGATTGAGGAGAACAGCAGAGCAATGAGGATTCTCAATCAAGCCAACGGTGACAAATTACAACGGCGTTTCATCTAAGAAAACGCCGCTACGAGACGCTATTAACATGATAGGTTGTCAGGAGCTCGGAATGTCTGACATCATTATGGCCGTACTGTTCAATATCGGTATCGTTGCGGCCACTGGTTCGGCCTTTCTGAAAACCATTGAGAACCTGTTTGCTCAGTGCAAGCAAAAATAATCGACAAGTGATGGCAGTGCACAAGGAATGAGATAAACTATGCATTTGTTCTTGAGTCCAACCCTCCTAGCGCTACCTTCCTGCAGCGGTCGCTCCATTACAAGATCCACAAATGAACATTTTACAAAGAGTGTACAGTCAGTCTGGACAGTGAAGGGGGCTAAATTATTCCGTATTTCCTCGTAATCCGTAAGCGGAGTCGAGATTTTTCCCAACAAAAGGAGTTGAGATAAGCGATCGGGAGTTTTGCGATCATTGACTTGGTCCAGAATACAAAGTGAATTCCGGGTCTCGAGTTGTGCGTGTGTGCGTGTGCATGTGGATGGGTGCGCGCGCGTACCTGCGTGCACGCGCAAAAACGCGGGCAAAGAGAATGTTTTTGGAAGAACGAAAAGAGAGCCTGAGTTAGTCAGGCAAACCGCCGCCCCTCATTGAATATGCGGGTTTGGTTAGCAGAGCGTCGCTGTGTGGACAAGACCAACGTCAAACATGTAAACACACAGACACACACACACACGTGCTCCGACACAGAAACGCCAAGACCGTCGGTCGGGCAGTCGGCCCATCGCCAACAACGCAGGTGGCGACTTTAAGGCCACATCCATCGGAACAAAGAGGGACACAACAGATGGAGCGTGGGGAACAAAGAACATGCGTCAGGTCGTGTGCGAACCGGCCAGATCTGTCCGAAGGACTGTGTTCAGGGAACATACTGAATGTGTGCTGAGAGGACAAACATTTGGGAGGATCGTAAAGCAAGTCATCTATGCCGAATCCCAGCGCTTACACAAAATAGACCAACTGTCATAACCCGCGTCTCCACCAGGCAACCAGATTCACATGAATGCAACTACAAACCGCATCGCTCAAATGGTCACCACAAATTCGAAGCAATCAATCCAGTTCATTTTATCAGCTATACACCACGTACCATAGGTACATTGATTCAAGCTGCTACAGTTTCGATCACCGGGAAACGGGAGTGTGGGACAGCCGAGCCTTGGTTAGTTCGGAAACTTGGTAGCTATGCGTTGAAGGCGATGGGTTTAATACACGAGCGCCATTGAGTCATTTCTGCTAATGTCATGAGTTGAGCCTAAGGTCCCAACACAGGGAGGCGGCAGCTGACAACTCGACTCAGTTTACTAGTTAGCGTTTTCCTACTTCGTTGCCGGCTCACACACTGTCTACCTCTCGGGTGCTTCCACTTAGCACAGGGCTGGGCGAAAAGATGTCTGCGAGGCAGACGGTTTTCTGGAATGCGGAGTACATATCCTAACCAGCGTAACCTATGAAGCATGAGTAATTCATCCGTCGCAGGAGAGTTCCATCTTCTTCCTAAGACCAGCTGGCGTACCCACCAGAGCTAACACCCAAGTTCAAACACTGACATCTTCCATATGTCCTCTGCGCGTAGGGGCCACTTTTCTGGTCCATAAAGCAGTATAGGTCGCATCACTGCAGTGTAAGCTCTGCCCTTGACGTCTCGTCGGCGCCATAGGTGTCGGAGATTGGGAAAAGCTGCCCTGGCCTTTCCGACTCGAGAAGTAATCTCATCTCCAGCCAGTCCACTGGAACGTATACAACTCCCCACTTAAAAAATTTATCTACCATGTCGATTGGCTCACCTGCAAGCATGAGGTGTGCGTTTAGTCCCATCCAGTCTTGTATCAACACTTTACACTTTGTAGTGCGAAACGCACGCCAAACTGCGCGGCAGTTATCTAGGTAATTTGAAAGGAAGGATCTGAACCAAGGAGTGCAATATCGTCCGCACATTCAATGTCTGTGAGGAAACGTCTCGGGAGCATTTCGACTCTCAAGATTTCAGAGACACAGTTGAAGAGAGAATGTGAGGGGACAGCATTGTCTTACACAACTGGACGTGATGAATTCAGGTGAAAGCTTGTCGTATGCTCTACGTGTCCCTAGGAGTTCGCAAGCAGTGCTCTCATAAGAGATATAAATTTGGAATGGACACCTTTGATCACCAGACACTGCCAAATTAGAAGCGACGACCAAGAAAGTATATGAGACGACCCAATGACCATTACCAAGCCGCCTAGAGTTGAGTCCAACCACATCGACCCATTAAAGTGTAATATTCAACTACAATAATGCTGCAGACGAGTACTTTGTTTCCAGATCAAGCAGAATCGTTACGATAGTAATAAATTTGGGAATGTAACAGATTGTTCTCAAAGTAGAGAGGAGTTGTTAGATGCTAGAATGGAAGTCCACGTGCGTTTCTCTTTTCAGGGAGGTCACGTGATCAGGGTGAATGTAAGGTCAGGCCTAGTCTGGGGTTAGTTTGGCAGGATATCGAAGATCAGCAGTAAATGTGCGGTAAAAATGGTTTACTGTCCAGCCGTTCGGAAACGCTTTCCGAATGCCACACTGATGATCACTCCGGCTCTCACATGCTCTCAAAACCCGTCGAGAAACACAGTCACGAGGTCAAAGGTCATTCCCAAACTCCGGTCAAGCTTGTCCGGAACAGGGTGACAAAAGGTTTTACTCACACGCTGTGTGCGACTGCCAAATTACAAACGAGTTGAGCAATCTATCACACAGAATGGGGTCATCTATGGAAGGCGCGAGGTTTACACTCGGTGCTCACACTTGAAAACCGCTAAACAATTATTCTCGGATCGATCTTGGCTTTCCGAGCTGTTCTGCCGGGTACCGTCAGTATTGAAACAGGTCCCGAAAACGTCTAATTCAGTGCAGTGACCGGTCACCATAATTCCAATTTTATTGACAATAAGGGGCAACTGTTACGTTGATGAACATTTCTTTAAATATCACTTAACATTTCGTTTTTCGTTCTGTACGTCTTCATTCTTTCTGCGATCCAGGGGGAACGGCGGTTGCCTATTTGTGTCCAAAACAATTTACTAAACGTGCAACTCCAGCGGCATAGAACTGAAGCTGTCGAGAAGATGAACGCACTGCGGATGACGCAAAAGTAATCATCGTCTTATGAGGTACAAAGCGCCTGTGGCGCTGCACATGCCATCAAGAAAAGTTCCAGGAACTTTCAGCTGTAACATTCTTTCAGTGCATAGCTGCCATGCCACCCGAATGAAGCACAAAGGCTAAGATACTGCGAGGTTTCCCCAGGCCTGAACAAAAACAGTCGAGATGGGGTTCGAATCACGGACCTCCCAGTTAGTAGGTTCGCGCCCTAATCACTGATCCATCAGGAGCTCAAATACTTCTTGAGAAGCTGACAGCCAAAAGCGGAAGATACTTCTCCGGGTATTCCAGACAACCACGAACCTCAGCTGGAGGTTTTACACAATGTTTTTGGAGATCGAAAAAGGGAATCATTCAGCTGAAACAGACTTTTGGTGCCCAGCTGCCATGCTATCTAAAGGAAGCACGAGGGCTGGGATACTGCCAGGTTGCCCAAGCCTAGACAGGGGAAGTCGAGAGGCAGAAGTCGGGTTCAAAACACGGGCCTTCCGGTCAGTAAATTAGCGCTCCAACCACTGAGCCCCCAGTTTGTGGAAAGAAGCAGCATTTTCACTTTCACTATTCCTGCAGCTTTTGTCTGCCTCGAAAAAAAGCATCACTGCAAAGACTAGGACGCAGTATACAGGCGACACTCTTGGACATGCTCTGGGTAACTAATGCCTGGAAATTCTATTGTATTCTATCGCTTCTTTCACAGGCGCTTCCGCTGACGATTTTACAAATCAGTGCCAGCGCCTGGGAACGATGCACAGCCCAAGACGTGCAAAAACTAATGCCGATTCTACGGAATCCCGTCTGGTGTAGCCTGTCCTCGTAAAAAACAATGTCAGTGCAATGTTTGTGCGGCTCCTTTTCAGGTTAAAAGATCTGCATGTTTCTCAATGCCATCCAGTTGTCGAAAGTGCTGCATTTTGTTCGTTCAGAAAACTTCCTTTCGGATGTGTGAGTAATTGGGCGCAGGAAACGCCTATGTTCTTCAAACGAGTGCAAGCATAGCTCATCAAATCAACCGGATGGTTTGGGAGACTGTATGTACGACGAAAGCCCTCATTTCCGCTCGGATATGGAACTATGTACAGGCATTGAACATCTTTTTTCGCTTATTTCCTATGTTTTGTGTACCTGTTTACATTCATTTCGGTCTCACGAACATCGATCCATTTCTGGAAGCACCTATTCTGATGAGGCTGGCTCATTTCGAAAGAATCGCGAAGGATGAAGCGGGTTGAAGAACTAGACGGAAGCCGCCGAGATGTCAGTATTGAATTCGAAAAACGGACCTACCAGTCAGTAAGTTCGTGCCTCAACAACTATCGGCCTCAGCAGTCATAAATTATGAGTTTTTTTGTTCCACAAACCAGAATACGTCAGTCACTGGCAATTTTAACTCCTCGTCTTACACGACAGTTTCCTCTCATGCAGCGGTGAATTTGACGAATAATTCCGCTAAAATAATCACCTGATATTTAGCCGTTTCATGCGTATATTTCTCCTCACGCTTCAACTACTGCAGATGGATTTACACTTTGAGTAAAGTTTATCCCAGGGCAATCTTCATTCCCCTGAAATAAAGAGGTACCCTGTCTGTCTGTCTGTGTTTGCAACATTCGTTTTTCCTTCACAAAGGCAAATTTTATATTTCATGTGATCAAAAAGCAACTTGCAGACTAATTGAAACCCAGCTCTGGACACTAAAGAGACAACAAAGTTCATGCCCATTGAACTAGTGGTAAGTAGTAGCACAACTTTGGAGTTGTGAAACTCAAAGCACACCGCAACTGTACTCACTATTGGTCCCCAATGACCGAAATAGAATGTTAACGTTAGAGAATACGTATTTGCCAGGATCTGCAGAACGCTTTGCACCCCGTGGATAATCCGCAAAACATTTTTGAACTCAACGAGACCTAAAATTATCCAACATACCACACAGCCTTCCCCATTTTCTTATTTTCAGCGTGACTGATGGGATCAGGAGATATTTTCATGTTAGCCAGCCAGTCACGTGAGAGTTTATCGATTGATCAGAACCGCCGGGAGTATTAATCGACTGAAAGATGTGGGGCACAAAAGCAGTCATGCGCAAAGATAGATCATTTTTGCTTAGTAAGGATACCATGCATCTATCTAGGCGATGGAGGATACTCAGGAACACTGTGTGCATCGGTTGGTTGAGACAAACAGGATGCCGTGAAAAAAATAATGGAAAAACGAAAAAAAAATAAAAGATGGGAAAGGGATCAGTCTTAACTTATCGCAAGCATTCTGAAGTACCTACCTACCTAAAATCGATCAATCGGAAGAAGTTGACAGCGCGAATGCTACCGATATCTGCCGCAAGTTGCTACATGCAAAATCTCCAAACAAGCACGGGATAGACAGATGGACCCCACACTGAAAGGTGGACGGTACCATCGCCATATGTGCGCTTCGGAAGCACCTTCAAACCCTTTCGCCAAGTTACTCATCATCCATCCCGCAGATTGCGCCATTCTGGAGGTACGCAAAACAACACTCGTTTCGTTAGATGGTGGTGCGACATACCTAACACATGGCTGAGCTATCGCAGGTGAAATTGCTGGGGTTTCCGCGACCCACGTACCTGCTGCACCACCAAACACCTGTTTTCTCATTAGGTGGGTTCGAATTCGTCGACGAAGCTTCTGGAAAATCAGTTGTCATAAGGCCTGAAGAGATCTCAGCTTATCCAGCCACAGAGAACAAGTCACGCGAAGATACAATACAGTCTTCATGGCTAAAGACCCTGTATGACTGTCTTACTGATGCGGTGCTACCTGCTGAGGCTTTGCATATAAAAAAACTGCGAGGATGGACAGTCTCGAGTTTCGTTGAGCCGAGAAGATTCTCTCAAGAGGGAACACAAGCCTTGATTTTTCTGACTAACATCTTACTGCTTGTTTGTCTAACATGCTTACTCCCTGTTGAGTGTTCTCCAAGCGAGAAAATTTCCAGCGCAATCTAGAACCGAAGAACTACGTAGCCATCTTATTTTTCCGGGAGCACAGACCACGGTGAAAGTGAATACTGGACGGTGCTTTCCCAATCCAACGAAGGAGGGCGAGATGCCCAACGTGGTTAGAGCGCGAATTTACTGACCAGAAGGTCCGTGGTTCGAACCCGACCTCTGTCTCTCGACTTCCCCCGTTCTAGGCTTGGGCAACCTGATCCCAGCCCTCGTGCAACCTTCGGTTGGCATGGCGGTTAGACACCAAAAGGGTGCTACAACTGACCGATTTCATTTATTCAACCCAACAAAGAAGCACCCCTCGATTCCAACTACACCGAAATGGGCACAACCATTCTACGGTCTCCCTGAATCTGTAACTGCTGGGAGGGAAAGTATTTGTTCAATACACAAGGAAAACGGTGATAATGGTTTCTATAAATGAGTGGTCCCATCCTAACTGTTCCAGTTGACGGCCAGGCCTACTCAGTCGTAGCCAGACGAAGGAGGTTCTCCTGGTATCTTCCGTCACAACCTACCTCGACCGCTATACGGGCTATCGTAGAGCACAACCATGCTGTCACCCAGTTAGTTACCGCTCTATAGAATACAGGGACCTAAGCACGAAAATCGCCAATATCAGCGGAAAACAGCGTCAATCTTACGCCGCCGTAAACGAACAAATGCCATACTTGGGAAGCGATTCTAGCGTCCATGCTTTTGTTTTCTAGAGGCATTTATCGCGATTACTTGTGATATTGATTGGTGGAATTAGGACTAGACGACTAGCGGCCATGCGCGAAGAACACATATTTACCCGGTCTGGACACCACATACATTCAGAATGACGAGTTAACAATGCTGATTTATGCTGGGAATGCGGCGAATCAGAGATCAAAGGGATTGGAAAAAAATCAACTTGCACTGGGTGGAAAGGCTTAAACGGCATTAGTAAAACAAACAATAGAAAGGAAGAGATAAAGGGTCTTTTGAAATACATGGGTCAAGACCATTCGGTATACCATTGCATTTTTAGCGCTATGGATAACGGGACTAGCAGCAACTACCTGAACCCTGGTATGCATTCCTAATTTCCATATTCACAATAATAAACAAATAATCCTTCTATTGTGGCATCCTTTCGGTGCTTAACTGTCATGTCACCCGAAGGTTGCACGAGGGCTAGGATACTGCCAGGTTGTTCAAGACTAGACAGAAATCGAGCGGCAGAGGTTGGGTTCGAACCACGGACCTTCCGGTAAGTAAATTCGCGCTCTAACCACTTGAGCCATCCGTATACATCACCACCATCGAGCGCGATTCTTCTGACCAGAAGGTACTCGGTTCGAACCCAACTCTGACTTTTCGATTGATTTTGTCTAGGCTTCGGCAAATTGTCAGTGGTATCTCGATCCTCGGGCTTCCTTCGGTTGCACGGTACCGAAGGGATGTCACAGTTGAACATTCAGTTATTTACCTTTGCACCCTCGTCTTGTTTACTGACTACGGCATGTCTTTGTTCTGCAGTCTATTTGTACCCATTAGCAGCTTGATCAGGTGATTATGCAACCGACCGTTTGAAATGGCGCCTAACGGTCTAGAGGAAATATATTCGTTGGACATTGCAATCAACATCCTTTGACTTTTTGTGGAATGGGGATATCAAACACTGTGATAAGAGCATGCACGCCTAAATAACTTGGGCAAACCCTGTATGGGCGCCATAAGAATTGACTGTGATACACGCCTGTAAAATGCTCCACGGATCAACCACCGTAATATTTCAACCAATCATTGTTCAGATAACTCACCAATGCTAAAACCGAGGGCACTATCACTTCGGGAACCGTTTGGGGTCAGCTGCCTCGAATGCGATTTAGTGGTGGATGCCGGGGCGGAATGTCGATCCACGAGAGGCGTGGAAGCCGGGGAAATGGAATGAAAGCCATATGTTGTGAAATCACTTGAAATTTTGGGATTGTTCGAACTCGGTCTACGAAGTTCCAAAAGACCACCATTGGGGGTTTCGGTGAGCACTAGACCGAGGTCTGTCATAGCAGCAGCAGTGGTTGATTTCCGATCGGGTAGAGCAGACAGGTGATGACTAGTGCTATCCAGTGCCATCATCATCATATTGCGGAGTCGAGTGGTTGCGCACCCTGATTATGCGACCACGCGGCACAAAGTAGGTGAGGAAACGGTGAAATCCCTTTCTGATGCTAGGCAGCCCGCTTTCACAATGACTGACGCTAAACTGTGGTCGGTTCCACACGCATGCGCGCCAGCAGTCAAAGATGCATCAAGACAGGGCAGGTCGAGGCACAGAGCCGCGCCGGATGTGTGAACACACGTTATGACGCACGCACACACGAACGCACACGGTTGTATACAAGTCAGGCAATGGTGGTGTTCTGCATGTGGACCATGTTCATGTGCGAACGCAGGAAACACACACATTCTCCAGTTCATGTGCGTGTGTAACGCTGACCATGAATCCGATGTCCAATAGCCTGTAACGTAACCTCACAACCACCCCTTACCAGAGCCGTGAAAAAGTCGACTGGCTCAAGCACAGGAATACGAGACAGGCGCATAAACACACACACGAAGAGCATGTTTTCGATCATCATGTGCACATGTGCGAGCATGTACGGCCGACCAAAGTCTGGTCATGCCATAGGCCAGGCTGAGCTCACAAAACAGCAATCTGATTGGCTAATTCCTGAAGCGTCTTTGAGGGATGCTATAGCAACGCGAATTCCGGCTTCAGTGCCTGCCTGGGATGTTCGAGAAATTGGGAGCGAGTTTGAGGCGATCGGGCGCTACCTGACCGGATAGCGCGGGAAGCAATAGCAGATCGAATACTTCCTTTATGGCTTTTTTGGTGGGAGGAATGAGATCTGCCAACCGAATAGAGAATGGCAGGTGAATGGTATTGGAGCAACGCAGCACCCTGTCCTCTCAGAAAGAATGATAAAGCCTCTTTTCGTAGATTACTCAGATATTTGTCAGTCGGCACCTGAAACCCAGTCCGAAAGTGTATTTCCTCGATATGTCTCGAGTTTGCTGGAGATTTTGGGACATTGGATCCCCTTAGTCAAGTTCGTTAGAACAGCACGAAAACACGAATCGCAAGATGCTAACATTTCAATTTAGTTTCGTCCAGCTCGTAGGCAAAGCATTCTGCATGTATGAGTGGAAGGTATAGTAACTAAGATCGAAGTTACCAAGCGTCACGTGATGCCCTACGGAAAAAGTTGGTGCAGTGTCAGTTCCATAGTAAGCAGGTCTTTCCTTGTGTTTAGTTTTGGCTAGTGTTTTGTTTAGCAGTGCTCCCCAAACGCCAGCAACTTCGGGTTCGTAAAGTAGAGTTCGCGCTGTAGGTTGAGCCAATCTCTCTAGAGTAAACTAGAAGCATTGTGTAGGTCGTAACCGATAGCCGGTAGGACGCAGATACGAGAATCTCGGAGATTCGTGAAGTGGCCAAAAGGGATGAACTCAGCCGAATAGCTCACTTCATGAATTTTGTGGTGGCTGTGAGTTGCATGCTGTAAATTCGCTCGAACATTTGTCTTGGGTGATGTTCAAGTAACCTTTGACTTTCCCCTCAGACCATTTGATGGAAATATCCTGGTAGCCGTCAGACTCACCTATTGATCTCACTAGCCACCTACTGAGTCCTGATAAGGGTTTCGGGGAACTCGGCTTCGGCTCATGACATATGCAAAAGTTACGAAGCAAGGGCATACTCTCTAACACTGCAACGCAGGCAATATGAGGAGCTAAGGCTTTTAGTTTTTTACTGGCCATCTGGCGTTCTCGTGAAGTTAGCTAGACGGGTCACTGGGACACGAACTCACTTCGCTGGCGCCGAGTTCATATTCTGGGATTAATCGATCACGGTTATCTGCCGGTCAGTAAGGCACCCACTTGTTGTTCGAGTTCCAGCCACCGGAAGACTTTGTATTTCTCGTTTTTTTACTCCATTCCTATTCACGTCCAACTTTACTCAGGGCAGCGTCAATCAATCTGGTAGCTTCGTGGCAACGGTTTATCAGCCATTTTTAGCTAAACTTTAAGAAATTTCCCAACAATAAAACTATGGGTACCTGATCGAAAACTGTTATAAATATTCGAGGGGATTTTTTTGATCCTGTACCGATAAAGATGAAGAATCTGATATGATCAACTTACTTCGTTGAGGTTTCAGTTGTTTGTGACGTCTGGTCACCGTGGTAACCACCCTGTCTAACTTGACTGCCTAGTGAGCTTTAAAGTGCCGTTGATGTGAACGTGGTAGATAGCATCGGAGACTATCAATTTTGACATATTCCTGAATGCAGCATCTATTCGCTGAGACCATCTTAAGCTCAAGATAACTCAGTGGTTAAAGCCAAAACTTATTGGACGGGAGGTCTGTGGTTCGAACTCTGCCCCCGCACCTTAACTGTCCCTATCCAGGATGATAGTATCTCATCCCTCATGATTCCCCCAGGTGGCACGCAGTTGGGCACCAGCCCAACATGAGGCACCAGCGCTTTCGTGGATGACATACGACACCTGTTGAATCTATCTAGCCTCCAAAAATGTACACCTATATAGAGCAGTCTTTTAATCAAGTGGTATGTCAATATGATCTCATTTGGGTAGCAAACATCCAGAAGTCAAACTTCTCTGCTTGATTACTTACTCCTTTATAAGGTTTCACATTTGCCTGTCAGATAGGAGCGACCAACCAATCTCTGCATCTCAACTGCTCGTGTCTAGACTGGAGCAATCTGGCTACATCAAATCCTTAGTTTTTCCCTCGGTTGGTTGATGTGGTTGATGTGGGCACTGAATGGGAGTCACAGCTGGACGGTTATTATTACTAGTATTGTTTACGGAGACTCCCCCTCCAAAGTCCTTTCTGTCTATTTAGCCACACAGATTCGCTAACTCTCTGGGTATGTCAGACATTGACGAAACTGCTGTAAAATGAATCAGTCAGTCCAAAACAAGAGTTTGCTTGATTCGTTCACTCTTTGGAAGATTCAAGTCGGCAAGACTTGGTACTATTGCCGGGCCAATGATCTTATTCGGCTTCCACGCAGATAAGAAGGACCAACTTCCCGATAACGGTACTCAACCGTTAAATGAGAAATTCATTACTCCTTAAACTGAACTGATATTGGTCAGCAAGCAGAGAGACGGCCAGACCTCGAACAGGTTCACAGAAGACCATGATCTTTCTAAGAAATCTTGATTACTCGTGGCTTCTAGAGAGTAACCAAGTTTCAACCAAGTTTCACCCTCTATTTATCGTATGATTGTATTCGTTTCACTTTCAAGGTTGCCTCATCGGGAGCACAACTGATCCACAGACCGAAGATCACATGAATTGCCAACAGACTCCAGCCTCTCTGGTAGAAAATCATCCTAGGGTGAGCACACAGTTCGTCGTTGTGGGACCTATTTTCCCTCGGGAAGAGCAGAAATGAGAGGTAGGGGCTGAATTATGGACGTGGCCTAAAAATTATTGGGCGTACGCATACAACCACGCCTTTCCGGTGACCTGGTAAACACTCCAGTGGTTGAACCTACACGGATGACCTTAAATTCGATGCATAAACGACTAGTTTAACCATGTGGTTAAACTGAATGCGTGGGGTTTTTCATTAGATTTCAAACTTAGAAGACTGTGCAAATCATCTCCGCTGGGTTCGTTCAGACACAGGGAATTCTAGCGTCAGTAACCGTTACGGAGTGACTACTCTTCCCTCCAGCACTGCTACTATGAAATTCAGTTTTCCGGTGGTGGAGCTTCTGTCTCCCTATTTTTCAGTTTGTTGTCGACAGCGATCGATGCAAAAAAGGAAGTTGTTCCTCAGTGAGCACACACTTCTCACTGATGTGTGACAGATCGAATGAAGGAAGCATGAGGGCTGAGATACTACTAGGTTGCCCAAGCACAGACAAATGGAGTCGAAATGTGGGGGGTTGGATTCGGACCACAGAACCTCCAATCAATAAGTTCATGTCTTGACGACGAAGCTATCTCAATAAGTAACAGCACTAGTATATGGTTGCGATAGGTTATCGTATCTTGTCATTGTCACTGGTGCACAGAAAATTGCATTTCATCACAACACCGTCCCTGCGTACTGTCTGTTAGATTTCCGTTATCGGTATTATCATCCCTCAAGGTTTATGCGTATTTATATTCGACATACGAACAACGTCTCTTGTCAGATTTCGTCATTCTGTTCGTTTACGTAACTCGTTTCGGTCCAATTTTCAACTCGAGCTCATCAATCTTCGTGTTATGTCTACTTGAGTTCGCTAGGTTATCTTCCGCAACTTTGCTTCACTGGACACACAAGGAACAGTTCGGAGACCTGACATGTAAATTTGGGCTTTAAACGGATTTGACAACTCTGCTTCCACTTCCATAATGGGGTCCCCGTAACCCGGCCCGTGCTTGGTTAAAGACGTTGCAAGAAATGGTGTTTAACCGATGTCAGCGGCGCTCGTGGTGTCAGTTTATTTCCAGATTGTCTGGTTGAGCGCTTGTATGTGTGGGCACCTCAGAATGCCTGACATTGGGCAGCACTTGGTTCCCTGGGCCACTCTTTCTCTCTTCTTTCCACTCTAGTGCTCTAAAAATAGACGAACCGTAAGGTTGTACGGCAATGGAGCATCAGTATCAACACTGACGTTCCTGGCTCTGATGATGATGATGATTCCGTGATACGCAAGCTTAGAAACTACTAGAAAACTACGAAATGTTCAGGCAAGGGAGAGCAGACGTTTACGATGCAGTCCATGTTGACAGAAAACGTCTGGAATCTGTCCGGCCAATGTAATGTGGATCAGTGCTTTCCTACCAGAGATGTGATCTTAACAGGAATATGGTTCAGAGGTTGCGGACGCAAGCATCTACATTTTTCCTCTCCGTTTGAAGCACGCAGTACATCTTAGTCGTTTTGCATCAATGGTGTTAGTACTACTCTCAAGGTAAAACGAAGCTCTCCAATGCAAATACTGGGAACGAGTGAACTGTCCTTATTTTACCAGACAGAGAGTTTCAGTCGAGCATGGGGAAACCATTTGGGTGTGGCTTGTGAACCAACTTAGCTCGATTCCGGGACCTGAAGGATGCCAGACACTGGACCCCTCAAGCACCAAGAAGAAGGACTGGAAGGCACAGTCATCATCTTCATCAACAGCATGACATCAATGTTCAACGCCGGTGCTTCGCCGCCGTAGAAGATTTATTTCGAGATACCTGAGGATGTCGGCGCTATGTGACGATCAACGCTACACGCAAAACCGATGCAAGACGAACGGAGTCATCAGTCCTAAGTGCTTGACCCACAAAAGAAGAGTTAATAAGTGCGTGGGGATAGAGGGAAGAAAAAGTATGTGAAAGAGGACGAAAGGCATCAGTAGGAGCCTGCTTTCACTCGCTGCTGTCTGCAGCGAGCAAGGCGACCCAGCTAATGGCACCACGCGACGGCTGATATGGCAAGAGTTTATTGTTAGACGTAGGTATCATGGTTGTACGTGGGCTGGGATACTGTCAGGACGCCCACACCTAGACAGGAGGACGATTAGGGTCCTCATCCAAGGCCCCTGGCTCAAAAGCCTAACCGCAAGGTAGTGCTGTTTGGTGGGAAATGCAAATGCATTACCATTTCCACGGAACAAGTCGGTACATGCCCCCAACCTCAACCTGGTGGACCAGGAGACTGTGTTTGTCTGACCTCTAACCATGGACCAATCTGGTATGAGAGACTCTGTGTGTGTCGCGGGGACATCCCCCCCAGTACAGCTCCACGGGTCGCTTAGGTGACGGC